ACGGTGACCACAACGTGCTGTTCCACGATTTCTCTGCCCCTTGGCCGCTGAATGCCATCTCTCAGAACTCATCTTATCCAATTTGCAAAGCGGAGCACTTCACTGGTGTCATTGTGTATAACACGCCGTTCTCTACATCGCTGTAACTGTTTAAGATAGCCCCCTACCAAAGCCTACCATGGCAACCGCAGAAAAAAAAACTATGCGCGTTAATAAGACTGCCTTTTCTAGGGGACGCAGCAAGCGAATTAGTAAGATGATGTCGAAAGACAGTGATCACGAGCCCTTTTAACGCGACGAATTTACGCGTATGTTTCACAGACTCCACCCTCCTACGGTTAGAAGGTATAGACTATTGCAGGCCACATCGATGTGTGAAGAATACACGATTGCTGAGACACGAGTTTTATTCGCCTGGCGTTTCGGAGTCCTGCTCGAACCCATCCTCAGAGACAAAAGCAGATACGTGTGGTTCATGCATAAGGGTCTGCAGCATTTATAGGATGCAGTCGCCATGCTACCGCACACCTATAAATATTCACGGCTCCCCTTTATCCTGACGTTTCGGATTCCTGCTCGAACCCATCATCAGGTAGGGCCTGTGTCTCCTCCTTCACGACTGCTTCCTACGACTCGTCTCTTCGCTTTTATTGATATCGATGTGTATCTACTGATTCATTTGCTCCTATAGAGACGCATGGAAAAGAGTACACGTGAAAACATACCGGCCTGTCTAGACAGAAATGAAGACAAATCGATTTATGTTCTCGCACATCCTGTAGATGCAAATCACCGAGTCGATGCCAACGAAGCCATTGAGCTTGTCTACCGTACACCAGCAAGTTTCTTTAAAGGTTTACGCCAATGTGTGCTAGCTGCAGCCGAAGCAGTAACTATACGGCCAGGGAATTCAGTGCCCTGTTGTAAGAAGACGTTTAAACGGGCGGTCTGTCTTCCCTGGCCACTACCGAACGCAGATGGTGATCGCACCCGACCCCAATCTTATGACGACAACGATGTGTACTCAATGTGCTCGACTCACAAGCGCCACTTTCAGCCCATGCCACCCTCATCCTCTTGTCCCGAAGACCACGAAACGCTGACCTCGTCATGCGGGTGGTGTGGGAACAATGCGTGCTAGTAAACCTCGATGCAATTATGAGCCCTGTCAACTTTCATATTTTCATTTTCGGTGCAACTGTATGGCTGTGATGATGAGTTATCCGAAACATATCTTCGGCAACTTGACTTTTCCGTTGAAAGTTTGTCGAACATTTGTGTAGTATGCTAAATACAGTGCGTGGCCGATCTCATGAAATGTTAGCCGCAATTCTGAAATGCATTTTTTAGAAAGGATTACGGTAACAATCGGGAGATGGCACCCCAAAAATACGCCCAACCAAAGCAGCCTGTATTACGGGACAGGTGGTAATAGGGGTTTTATGGGTGGGGCCTTCGAATACGTGGATAAATGTCAATAATAGTAAGATTTTTTTCGGAAATTGCTTTTCAAACGATGAAGTTTTATTTCATCGCTGTATAGCAACAAAAATTGTGCGCGATGTATGAAAAGTAAACAGATAGAAGTACTGTAGGCATAAACCATTTTAAGAAACCCGCGAGGCATTTGGGCACCTGTAATCAGACGCAAAGATCATTTCTCTACACTCCTAAGGTATGCATGGTTAGGTTTAGTCGCAACCCCACTACTGCTGTCACTCGTCAGTCGTGTTAGCCTTGGTCAAGGCTGATTAACCATGGCTCGGTCTACAGCGATCGCATCTCACTGTTGCAGACTATGATAATCTAAATGAGGCAGCATATGGACTGCAGGTCGGATGAAACAACAAATATGTAGGGCTATAACCTTCTCAAATAGATATAGTAGGTATTAATCCTAGGCAACGAATATTTGGGCGCCATCTCCCGATTGTTACCAGGATTACTTCTGTGGGTTTGTAATCTTAATTATCACGAAGCATAATTCTGTAGTATTTCGGGCTCGCCATGATGTCGGCTTTTGAATGTTATTCTTTTCGATCTCCCGCAGAAACCCTACTCGTTAGAAAATGACTATTTATGTAGCTCACATTTTTCACATCGACTTTCGATGGCCCTATTGATTCTAATGTACTTTATAGAAAATATGCACAAAATAAGTTTTCTCCTACTTGTTTGGTAGAAAAGCACATTATCTTTCAGTTTTGAAAAAGTTTTTAATTATGAGGTTTTTAAGACCGTGCGCTGTCCATATACACAGCGTCGCACGCGTCCGTTTGCCAGTGTTCCTCCTTAAATGTACAACACAGTCCGTATCCATTGCAAAATTTTATGAACTCTATACAGTATCGCCTTAAAGGCACAGAGGAATATAGGATTTTCCTTACAGGGTTTGCATGCAGATTATAGACTGAAATCGCTAAACGCCAATCAGGCTCAAAATTGTTAGGGAATTGGGAAACCTTTTCGAAACCAAAATATGCACTTTTTGAGGTATTAAATATAAAGACAATGCGATTTTCTACCAAAGAAAGCGTGTTTTTGTGCACGATTTCGATAAAATATATTTGAATTTGCAAGACCGTCGAAAATCAGCGTAAAAGATGCACGCTATTACGTAGTCATTTTTTGTCGAGTACGGTTTCTGCGGAAGGTCAGAAGGAGGGGCAATTAAAAGCCTACATGCTGTCGAGTCCGAAATACTGTGAGATTATGCTACATACTAAGTAATACCGCAACGCCACCTTATTAATCCTTCCTAGTCGTAAACGCATTTCACAATTTCGGCCAAAATTTTATGAGGTCGGTCAAGCACTGTATGAGGAAGCGCCCTACTACTTAAATCTGAGCATCCGAGGAGGAGTCCCCGTTAGGTAACCACAAGCCATTTCTGTGTGTACTTAGGCTCCTAACACCGAATTTTTTGCCACTCCGCAATTCTTATTTCTCCGGCTTCTCTTACACCGGTACAGGTCAACACCTCACTCCCCAACTCTCAAGACTGGTGTTTACGCTTGCTTCCATGTCCTCTGTTGTCTCCAAATTGCTTTTCTGGCCTCATTAAAAGGATGCCTGAACTGTAGGAAGCAGCCCTCGGGCGCGTCGACCTGCTCTGCTGATCAGAATCCCTGCAATATGTGATGTATTTCTGCTGCATGATCGGACGCAAACTTGGTTCTCTTACTCGCTGCGAGATCGGTTGAGATCGATAGTGTGTGATTTCATTGGCAACTTTTGACCCGTGAAGAGGTTGCAACGCACAATAAAGGGCACTTCAGAGGCTTCATCGCAAAACACTTGGGGGAATGTCGTCTGCTCTAATAACACAATGGATAAGATGTGGTTATCCAGCCGCGCTTGATGAACACAATACTGTTGGGACGGAGGTTAGGGTCAGGGGTTATGGTTAGGGTTACGGGGTAGAGTTAGGGCAACTACTTCTCAACCACTCAAAGTACAACCGCGCATTCCCAATAGCTCTTCTTTTGTAGACAACCGTTTGACCTCGTCGCCTGTGCGTTCCTTGACCACACCTGTAACAACCTGTAACAACCACCGGCCTCGTATTACACGCGGCGTAGGTTTCTTGCACCTCAGGTGCGGCCGCATAGCCACATCTGACCGCCGAATGTCGACATCTATACAACGCAAGTAATTAGTAAGCACATAAACATAGATTTCAGAGGGTGCCTATGTCTCAGCCTTGGAATAAAAGCACTGGCAAGATGTGGTTATCCAGCCGCGCCTCATGAACACAATACTGTTGGGGCTGAGGTTATGGTTAGGAGTTGGGGTAACTTTTTCCCAACCATTTAAAGTAAAACCGCGCATTCTCAATAGCTATTCCTTTGCATGAAGTTACTTGACCTCGCTGCCTGTGCGTTCCCCGGCCCCGCCTGTAAAAACCCTTATTACCATCTGTTCTGTATTACAGGCGGCTTCGGTTTTTTTACCTTAGGCGCGGCTGCATATCCAAATGTACAGTGAATGACCTACCTCCTGAAATGTTGGCTAACATTCTGAAATGCGTTTTCGATTAGGAAGGATAACTTGGTCGCGGTTGCAATAATGACTATCTTGCGGCATACTCTTATAAAATTT